AGGAGTTCAAGTCATGTTTGGAGATACCCATTGGACATCTACATGGAGATGTAAAGTGGGTAGTCAGCTGTTAAGTCTGGAGTTCAGGAGAGCTGAGCTAATGACAGACATTTCAGTTTCTTGATGGCCTTTAAGATCCTTGGTGTGCCAATGGAGGAGGAGTGAGTGTGCACAGAGAAAAGGACAAGACTAACACCCAAGTCCTAGGAAATCCAGAATTAAAGGGTCCAACACAAAACTTGAACTACTACTGTCTGCTACTGGCAGAAAGTCCTGGAAAATGCCTCTGTCCCCTCTTTAATCAATGACCCTAGAAGCTTCTCCTTCAGGGCCAAATCCCAGAATGAAGTATTCCAGGAGTGAGGTGTTGCTTAATTTATCTCTGTGATAAATTTATCTCTGTGACTGAGATCTAGTAGTTTAAGAGTTATGGCTCACAGTAAGATACCACCTTGCCTGCATTAGAATGACAATGATTAAAAACCCTGGAAAATATCACATGTTGATAGGTTATAGAGAAACTGAAACCCTCATACATTCATTTGTTTGTGGAACTGTAAAATGGTACAGCCACTGTGGTAAAAGTTTGGTGTTTCCTCAAAAAGTTGAACACAGAACTACATATGACCCAGTAATGTTAATGCTAGAAATATACTCAAAAGTGAAGGCAGGGTGAGAACAAACAAGATGGCAGATTGGGTGGAAGTGCAGTAAAGAGCTCCGCCAGCAACAACACAGAATACCTGACCAAGCAGGCTGAGGGGATGGTCCTAGAACTCTGAACCACATATAAAGGAATATTTAGAAGGTTGGAAGACTTACAGCTGGGGGAATTTGTGGCAGAAGCAAAAAATCCATTGCTTTCTAATTCGAGATGCTCAGCTGCTCGAGGAGCCGCCATCTTGAGTGAGATCAAGCGGGGGAAGGATCACAGCAGCCACGGATGCCTGGAAGAACCACGGAGATGAAGGTGTGGACATTCCATCTCTTTTGGTAGCTGTTCATTGGTCCCTTACTGTCCGTGCACCTCCATTCAGTGACTATAGCGGTGCCTGAGCTAGTGGGCACCCCAGCTCCACCCGCGGAGAGTTCTACTACTGTGCATGCTCTACTGTGCATGCTCACAGATCCCTTGAAATTTAAAGAGACAGTTTCCAATTAAAACCAAATGGCCACAGCTGGCCCTGAACTATTTACAACTAGAAAAAAAGGCCTTAACGGGGATTATGGAGTGGGACAAGCGGACAAAAAAGGAAATAGGCCGAAAATTAAATCCTACGTTATGTCAAAACAATCAACAGTGGCATCTTGAAATTTCTCAAGAAGAAGAGTAAAAAGGGAAGCTCATTTCCTGATCACATCTAGCTGGAGGCAATCAGAAAGCATAAAAAATACCAAAATACATACCCATCTGAGTATTAAGGCCACAGATAACCCCTGAAGATGCCCAAAAAACAAAAGCAGATGACCATATCTGCACATGTCCAGAAACGAGATAAAGTGATTGAGGCAAATAAGCTGGAAGCAGACCTACACTCCATACTGGAAGATGGGCAGGCTTTGGAAATGCCTGAGAAGGAATTCAGAAAAATGATTATAAAATGTATCAAAACACTATACAAT